GCGCAAATGTAGTACACAATGAAGTATGGTAGTTGCTTGCATTAACACAGCGCGTCCGATATTCTAGCTCGTTAATTAAGCCAATGCTTAATTAAATGGTTAAATTACGGATACATTGGGCCGAGACGTATCTGGCTCGTATCTGATGATGAATAAATTTACGCATTATTCGTATATATGCGCACACACACATAGTCGCGCGAATTGTATATCCGAGGATCTCTCGATCGTCGTTCTCCCCGATCCTCGAGTTGGGGCGGTAAAGCAGTTTCCCCCGCTAACAGCTGAAAAAGTGACCAAACGAGGGGAATTTCGGGAAAAAAATATTCTCTCATGGGAAATATTAAGAATAATAATATATAAAAAAAAAAAAGTAACAGGAGAATCAAACATTTGTGTATTTAGAAGGAACAAAATTTTTTATTGTGCTTTATTGATTTTTTGTGAAATAAAATGTCCGCATGTCGTTTTCTCGAACAAATATTTCATCAACCCAATGCGAACTAACGCGTACATTTATTTAATAACAATTACAATAAATTTGCCTTTTTAGTTTTTAATTCGTAATCGTAAACTTTGTAGTACCTTCTATAGCATCGCAGAGCTTGACGCAATAGCATAGCCAAGTGCGCGGGAGAAGTGTGTGAAGCTCTTAATTGTCTATACGTTTGATTTGTGGTCCCAATGGAAAAATCGCGTTTTCTTTTAGTTTACACACACATATATATGTGTGTATAATATATCGTAGAGAAGAGAATTGTGTTCTTTGAAAAGCGGTGAGAGGGAGAAGAGTATCAAGGTTTTTTTTTTTTTTTTTTTTTTAATTAGCGATACAAAGAAGAGAAAGTTTTCGCTCGTTTTTTTTAATGCATACAAAATTTTACGCATCTCGGCGTGTTATCGAGTCAAACTCTTCGTTAACGTTAAAATATGTCTTAATGTTAACACAATGTTGTTTGTTTGAAAAACGGAGGAACTGAATAACGACTAGACGCTTATAGCCGAATCCTTATCAATTAGTTAATAGTCGTTTATATAATAAATGTTTTTCTCTTGTTTTATTCGTGCCCGATGTTTTTTTTTATTTTTTGCAAACCAATTTGACACATACAATGAGAGGGAGAGAAAGAAAGAGAGAGAGAGAGAAAGAGAAAGAGCTCGACAGCTTTCTCCGGTGGAAATAAATATTGTATTACCGTAAGGTAAGCGTCCCAAACATGACCGGTTAAATATTTAACTGCGGTTATCAAAGAAATATAATTGTAACAAGATAATTACTTCTGTGCAATAAATGTCCGATCATTAGTGGATCACACGTCGTTCTCCGGTCGTTGGAACATTTACCTTGAGAGATCTCCGCATGTGCGTGTTGTTACGCAACAACTAGTGTCACTTTCGATACCGTCAAGTGGTGTGGTCGAAAGAGAAAGAAAGAAAGAAAGAAAGAAAGAGATGTACGATTACTGTAGTTTTTGTGTTTTGCGACTTGTAGGTAGGTAGGTATATATATATATATATATAAAGCCTTGCACTTTATAAAATATTAGAACAGTCACCGACGCTAAAGCCCGCACACACGCTCTTCTTATCAGACACCTATATAATCTTTAATCATTTGTTTTTTCTTACGCATATTTATGTATTTTGTTTAGTTGTCTCATTAATTCTCTCATGCGCGCGCGACGTTTGTCAGAGAAAGAGACACAACGCAAAAAAACTTCACTTCGATATTTATAATCAAACAAACAAAGCGCAACTTTCTTTATCTCGCGCAGAGAAGCGCGGATTGTAACGGCAGAAACTTTCTTATCGCGGAACACATATCGCGCGCGAAATGTGTTTTAGAAAATAAAAACTCTTCTTCTCACACAAAGAAGGGAGAAAATAACGTGACGCGTTGTTTTTTTCTTTTTTTTTTCTTTCTGTTGTGCGCGAGAAATGCATTTTACGATACATGTATGTGTATATTCTTTTTTGTTTTCAAACAGCGCATGAAAGAAATAATTGTTTATCGTTCGCGAGAATATACGACGTAGAAGGACGGACGCGTGTCATTAGCGGGTCCAAATTTGCATTACCATTAATCACATAAGAAAAGTTTCATGGCCCGTTTATGTCATTATCTTAGCATCGCCCAACACATTATACTCTCGAATATGGCCTGTAGTTTTTTCTACAGGTCGCGAGTATCTCTCTCGTCCTGTACTTTCATTCGTGAACAAATCATCACATTGTTCTGCTCTGCAGAAAGAATTGTGTGTACATTCTGTGTAGAATTAATGTTGTTTGCATGATTGCGTGTATATTTGTGTAGGTGTGTGTATGTGTATGTGTGTGTGTGTCTATGTGTGTGTTTACATATAATGTGTGTACGTGACAATGAATCATATGATGTCTATATTAATCACTGCGAATAAACTAACGGAGCTTTTGTTTAAATTCTCGTACACATTGTCACACTCATACTTTTACAATATACATGTAGAACAAACTTCAACAAAAGAGAGATGAAACAATTCGAGAAAAATACGAGATTTCAAAATATATACAAAACATTTTTCTTTCTTTCCTTTTTTGTTTTGTAAGATCAATATATATGGAATATAAAATATAGAATTTCAATTATGAAAGGCACAAAAACTATATATAACTATACTTGAGATAAATATATCTGTTTACTTGCGTTTAAAATTTGTACGAACAATCAAACAATTTCGTTATTCTGATCGCGTGTTATGGAAGCTCGTGTGTTATGTTTAACAAATGTGTTTAACAGTAATAAGATAATACAATTCTTCATATATAGTACAGGGAAGGATAAAATATACAATACGCGCAATTAAATCGATCAATTTTTTTCTCTCTGTTAAACATCATTTCCTCTTTTTCGTTTCCTCATCTTGTTATAATGAATTGCAAATGTCTTCTATTTCCGCGATTATAATACGTGTCACGTATCTAAGTCTAGGACAATTTTCTAAACCATGCTCTATCGATAATTATCTTATATATTTATATTTATATTTTTTATATATTGCAATAATATATTTAAATACTTGGATGAAACAGAAATTTCTTTTCAATTTTCTATCGCGTTCAAAGAGTTTTTTTGCCAGTAAATCGCCACTTCACAAACTAGCACACAGATAAGAAATGTCAATGTATGATGAATGTCAAATGATAAAGACAACAGTTGTTGTCGACGGTAGTTCTGATTTGCGGAAAAATTATAGTTGAGGATTTTTTTTTTTTTTTTTATGCAAACACACTGTGTGTGAAATATAATATAATATATCCTCCTACGTGAAATCGTTTAACTGGTGACTGTTAAAATGCACCGATATATAACAGTTTTTGTAATTTCAACTCCGCTAATATTGTGGCTATAAATATTTCAAACACACGATCGCGTAAGTCCTGCCGCGCGACACAACGACGATTAAACGTTATTACTTTATATAGGCGCAGAACTTTTGAAAAAAAAAAAACAAAATGTGAAACAAAAAGCAATTTCTTACAGAACACACACTCACATGAACATGAGTAACGGTAGGAATGCCTGCTATAGTACATAGCGATATTGTGTAAAACTTAGAAAAATATGAACGATGTGAAAGAATATTTTTTACATGTGTGTACGAGTTAAGGACGTTTGATTTTTTACGTCGCGAAAGTTCGCGACGAATCGTTACAAAGCCAACATCCGATAATGTTTACAACAATATTCAACGTAAGTATATAAAATCTGAAATATCGATAACGTAATGTTTCTCTTCGAAAGATTTACATAGTTACACACACAGATAAATGTATATATATATATATGTATGTATATATACTCGTCTCGGTTGCGTAAATCTTCTTCTCTCTTTTATTACGAGACGTCTTAGGAAACTATTTTGGCACTAGAATCCACATAATTGTTTAGTTTTAAAGCGTCGATTCGACATACTCGAAACGTCTATGAAGCTAACAAAAAGCAAAAAATGTTTATGTGCGCGCATATACGTGTCCATTTGTATGTGTGTGTGCTTTTGTTTATACATCATGTGAATATATATACAGAGTCGACATGTATGTGAATACTGACGTTCTTACTATATAAATACGAATGCTTAGAAATGTAATGTCTCTTACAATCTAAGGAACTTACGGTTATTACAATATCGTTTACGGTAGTGAGATGTTTGATTAATGAGAGAAGAAAATACTAACAAACTATAATATTACATCTGAACCTAAATATCAGAATATACTAATTTTGTTCGAGAGAAGCAAAGATTTTTTTTAAATTTATTAAGCATCTACACATTGAAAGTAGACGAATTTCAAAAAAGCGCGCACGCGAGAGGAAATGCTTATATTATTTTAAAATTTTCCTTTCTTATATATATATATATATATATATATATATATATATATATATATATGAGGACCACAGGGAAAGAACTTGATAAGTCACATTTTCGTAATTTTAGAGGAGAGCGATTTTAAAGTTCGAAACGTACATGTATTTCTGTGTTACACGTTTTATAAAAATGTTTATATCTCGAAATCTATCAACAATTTTACTTTCTCGCTTTGGATAATTAAAATACTCCATTTTAACTATCAAATAACATCAAAAACAGAAAATCGAAAAAAAATTGACTTATCAAGTTCTTTCCCCGTGGTTTTCATATATATATATATATATATATATATATATAGAAAGGAAATTTCTTATATATCGTGAATCGATTGTTTTTAATTTGAATCTTGTTAGTGAAAGATTTTAAAAGAGCATTAACATACTTTTATAAGTTAAGAAAAGATATTTGAAAAATATGTAACTATGTGTATTCTAAATAAAAAACGTACTACGTGAAATTATAAAGATCGAGCGTCATATATATGTATGTGTATATATATATATACATAAATATATATATATATAATTATAACATATATTTATATATATATATATATATATATTTATGTATAAGGTATGTGTATTTCTTCTATAATATTATCAATGTTGATTTTTTTGGAAATACATGGCTATTTATCACTATCACAAGTCTGTATTTCTATATGAAATCGATGAAAAAAGATTCACATTTGCAGTAGGTTTTGATTAGCTCACAATCGACATAATTGCTACTATTAATCATTATCGCTTTTATCTCGGTCTCGCAAAAAGTTCTCTCTTTGTTTTTTTTTCTCAGTTTAAATCGGTTTACCTTCTCACTTTAAAATTCGCCTCGTCGCATGGGACATACAAGTATAAGTACAATACTCGTTTAGGTGTTCGGCTCTGAGATTTGCCAAGTGCTTATCACATTTGCGCAAATAAATATGTAGCCGATCGTTACAACACCGACTCCGTCGCATATACACTGTCGTCCAAAAGTTTGAAAGTAGCATTCGGCAAAAGTTTTTTAATGAAATAATTTATCTCGAAAATACGATTATAAAAATAATTGTATTAATAATGAAAGTTAATTAACGGATCAAATCCGAGCAATAAGAATTTGATGATTGCTCGGAGTTGACTTATTGTTAATTTTACTAATTAGTATGTTATATAACGAGCGATTAATCCAAGTTGAAGCAATACTATGTTAAAAACATGCGATGAGAGAAGATTCTCACACCTTTTTTTTTTGAAAATATTCGCACTCGTATTTTGTTTCACTAAGAAAAAACGTGGTGCTTCCTAACTTTTGAACGATAGTGTACATTCTCGCGCGCGGAACGCGCTCTATATACCAACTATTAATATAAATTCCTACAAGTACAACCATTTAACGCTGCGCGCGTTTCTTCAGTATTCCCTGACTAGTGTATCTTTCGTTGCAATTTATATCCCGAGGACGTTGCATCCCGACGAGACGATCGGGAGGATTTACCATCACCACCGATTTCGTGCGACGACGAGAGATTTCCCTTGGCGCGCGCATTAACTTTCCTTCTCCTCGATGGGACTCACCTCGTTCTGCAGCAGCTCGAACTTCGGGCTTAGACTCGGCAGCATGCTTCTGGTGCTTGTTTTGATTTGACTGTACTTGTTGTAAATGTCCAGCGGCTTCTTGCGATCAATCTCGAGCGTCTCCTCGATCAGTCGCGGCGGGATGCTGCCCGCGCGTTTGTGACTCGGCACGAAGACGCTGCCTTCCGGCTTGCGATCCGTCGTCGTGTCGTTCTCTTTGTTGTTGTGTTCCGGCGTCAGCGTGCCGTTGCCCAATTTTCGCTGCTGCTCCTGAAACGCGTCCTCCTGCACGTCGTTCTTCAACAGCACACCGGTTATCACGGGCTTGTTGATCTCCGTCGACTTGCTCGAGGCGAAGTCGTTGCTCAGAGCTTTCTGCTCCATGATCTCCAGTTTATTCGGCGTCGCCCCGTTCACCTGTAGATTCGGATTCGATCGCACGGCGTCCGGAAAACTGTTGATCTCCAACGAGTCCTTTCGCATCGTCGCGCTCACATCTTGCAAGGACGACATGTTTTTTGATTTCCCATAGAACTGAGGCTGGAAAGCAGATACAAATCTTGCTCTATATGAAAACCTTACGACTGATTAATCCTCGGAGATGTATCTCTCAGAAGATTATGGCCGGGTCACATTTTCGACCCGTATTCTAATAAAAAAATCAAAAATTCACGTACACAAATAAAATGTAGCGTAAATGAAATATATATATATTTTTAATTGTTTTTAAATTGATTTTAATAATATTTTATTTGTCATAATTTCTATTTAGTGGTGAGTATATATAAACTTACAAAATATATCAATCCGGGTCTTGAGCGAGTGACCGGGTCACCAAAGTCAACAAAGGGTTAATATTTATAAACAATTGCGTTAATATTTACTTACGCTTTTCTCGTCGTCCTCCTCGCTGGTCAAATTTCTGGAATCGTCCAACAGTGTCTTCTCAATGTCCGGCGATTTGTCGAACTCGATCCACTTGGATCGCCCTTCTAATTTTCTCGAGAGCACATCGGACTCGTAACTGCCACCGTACATCGGATAACCGAGATGCCCGACGTCGTACTCGACCTGATTCCCGTAGCGGTAACTCGGATTCGCCGAACCTTGACTTGATATTGAGAGATCCGACTGCGACAATCCTGTGTTGGTGCTCCCAAACAGTCCGTACAGTCTGTATCGCGTACAGTCGAAATCTGTACGGCAAAAAAAAATGAAGAAAGAAAACTATAATATCCCGAGAACGATGACGTATTTGTGCGTGTGTGCATCGCGAAAATTATTAATTACTTGACGATCTATCCTCCGGTATTTCCTCTCTGTGTACCAGAGCCTGTTGATCGGTAACACCGGCGGTCATATCGTCGGAGGATTCTTTGTTACCTTCCGATTCCTCCTTGTCGTAATCCGGTTGAACGTCCACCACGTACGAACATCCGCTATCTTTGTATCTTGACGCGGGTTTGCTATCCTCCATCGTTACCTGGAGGCAAATATTTTAGCCGCAACAGATATCAGTAATTTACCAGTGAATATCATTTAACATCAAATATATAAATTGTACAGATTGTGTACACACACGCGGCTCTCGTACTATATTCAATTAATAATAACAATACGTATCAATTAACTAATAATAATAATAATAATAATAATTTATATCAAAATAAGAAATAAATCCCTCGTGAAATTGCCAGTAACAGTGCATGAGAGCCAATACGAGTGTTCAAAGTCGAATCCACAAAGTGTCTAAAATAGTAAAACTCTATTAAAACTATTTATAATAAATTAATTAACTATTTTTGTATTTCCTCTTTACTTTTTTATCTATGTATAGTTACCGGTCCGGTAGCTTCGCAACTCAAGTGCGGAGAGGTTACGAGCAGGAAGGTTTCGCATCCGCACACCTTCGGATTTTTCCGGGGGTCGGTCTCTTTCAGTCGAATTTACCGACTGAAATGCGAACTAAAACCACGGAAAGCAACGGGAAACCAACCTCTGATTAATTTTCCCACGAGAGCACTTCTATGTGAGATTCCACCGCGCCTTGTCAAAGGCAAAAGGATTACGAAGATACAGTTGCCACTGAAGAAGATCCGAAACAAAGATCGAAACGTTAATTGGCTCTTCAATCGGAGTTAGAATTATTTTATACACGGACAACTTGTATTTGAATCTCGCCCTTACGCACTGTGTGTTTGCAAATTGCGATTTTTAAAAAATATTTCGCACGTTATCGGCACGTTATCGTTTCTCTCGCAATATAATTGATAAATTTTCTAGCGACGATAAAATCTTGTCATTTGGACAACAACAAAAATATCAAAATGAGGCGCACTGCGAATGTTTCTAAATCGGAAAAGGTCTAACAGAGTCCGAGTTTAAAGTCATCCGACATGTTACAATTCTCTCACGGGAATTCGCGTGGTATTATCTACCATTTTTGTTTCTTCGTTTTTCGGTCCGAGAGTTACCGGACTCGAATCGACTCCACGCCTTTTCCTTGTTCGGGTGTGTTGGACCACTTCTCTCTCTTTCTCTCTCTCTCTCTCTTTCTCGTGTAGCGAGAGAAATGGAATAATAGAAGTCGCGAGTAGAGCATTTAGGAGAGATCGGAACGGAAAATGAAGAGTTACGCCGGGAACGAAATAGAACGAAAAGGATATGCGAAAAGTAACCGTAGAGAGAGCAAGTGGAAACGTATAGGTGTCAGGAAACAGCAGCGCTCGGAGGAAGAAGGATTTCGAGACCCTTCTTGATGTGGAACGAATCTTTGCCTCTCCTCTGGAGAGGCCTCCAGACGACGTGGCCAGTAAGTAGGACGATAAGTGGGAGCGAAATTGCCCGCTAACCTCCGACCTAACAGAGAGGATCGGTTAAAAGTTCCGATAATTACGAATCTACTCTCCATCCCAAAAACGAGCCAGTCTCCGACCCGGTTGTGCGAGCTTCGCTAAAACGAAGTTTCCCCGACGATGTTTCCCGCGCAATGACAGCAAAGACGGTGCTCTAGTCATTCAAATCGGAGAAGAATAAAATTTTAATAGACACACGTATCGCGTCTATTTCTGATCGCAGCGACGATGTGCTGGAAATTCTTTTGGCCACACGGGTATCGATCTGTACAACTTATTTAAATTTGCATCGCTTGCCGCGATCACGTACCGCGCGTTCTTCCGTTTCCACGATCAGATGATTATTCTTGAGGGTGAGGGTGATGATGTTCCCGTTTGCATTTTTGCTGGTGTGGTTGCCGCTGGATGTGGTGGTGTACTCCATCACGTCCGTCGTCGGGCTGACATTCACGTCCACCATCACCTCGGTCTCGCTCATGTATCGGGGAACATCTAGGCCATTCACCAACTGAAACCATAAAAAAAAAAAAAAAAAAGAAAAAACTACAATTGCGCGCGGGAAAAAAGCAAAGCCAGAAAAATTCGCACACAAACGAAAATTCTCGCAAATAGGAAACCATTAGCGGAGGGAACATAGTTATTTTTTTTTTTTTTTTTTTCACCGTTAATTTGACAACGTGCATTACCGAGGAAATTAAATTCCTAACGAAGTAATTATTCGCGTAATAGTTTGCATTTTAAACAGTTCTGTTTCCCCGAGGGAAATTTTTTTTTCTTTCGATAGAATTTACAGCGCGCGCCTGTATGCGTGCGTGTGTGTGTGTGTGTGTGTGT